ACTGCAACTTGCCAGCTTTATAGGCTTATGTACAATCTATCATAACGCCATTGAAAATAAACCTCATTATATCTGCGATACTTATATGCCGAGTAGTAATTAGCGGGGTTATAGCTTAGTAGCGTGTCGAGTATTCTGTCCCTCATCACTTGCTATGTGCGCCGCCGTCCAATTTTCAGCATATCTGCATGTATAGACCCTTCTTAAAATTATTCATGGACCTCGGGTGTCTGTGGGACTGCCGGCACAAATGTAAATGATCAACGACAATTAATGTAAAATAACCACAAATGTCATAACAGTGTCAACCACACAATATAAACACTTTAATTGTTTAACTCCAAATGTTAAAAACTTTTTTCATTGTTAATGAATAAGTTTATTCAGGAGGTTAATAAAGACAAACTTTTCCTTGTAATAAAGACCAATTTGTCTTTATTTAACGCATTGTTATTACAATGTATGTATGTATGCTATGTTGTGATGGTTGTCAGCTGTGTGTGTCGGGCATGTGTGTCGTGTGGGCTTGTGCTTGTGCGTGGGGTGGAGCACTGTCTGTGCCATGTGACTCTGCGCTGTCATGATGTTAATTGAAGAATGATGCCAATATCAGTGACTTGTATAACGTATAGATATATAAATCATACATCATATCATTATATTGCTTAACTGTATACTTATGTATACATATATTTATATATCCTTATTTTTATGTTAATATAGATCTCCAAGTAACACTCGTCACTCGTGATAATACGATATGCACTGAACCAAAAGAGGACCAACTCGGCTGCGATTCTAGAATCGCAGTCGAAATTGCTTCGAAATCGCATACACACGGTGAAGCGTGCGGCCGATCGCATGCGGTTGCAGGTTGCAGCGACGAGCAACCAAAAGTCGCAAGTCTGCGCTAGGCTTGCAGCTTTGCGACGCGACGCGATTGCATTGCGACTGATTTTCTGCAACTGGTTGCAAGTCGCAGCGACGATCGCGTTGCAGAGAAAGTTCGACATAAGCACCCCTGCGACTGTCAGCGACGGGTCTGCGACTGGAAAATTGTCAGTCGCAGCGCAGTAGCAGCGAGTCGCACATGTTCTACTCAATGCGTTTATATAAAATTGTACATAACCATAAAGCTGGCGGCGATAAGTGAGATTGGCGGTATTACGAGGGGCGGTATAACGAGGTTTTTCCGTAGTCTACAATTTTGCCACACATCCACACACCTAGCCCCCACACACACCTCCCCCTACATCCCCTAAAAAAAAATATTTAAAAATCTTTTAAAAAAAATTAAAAAAAATTAATAATTAATAAATTAATAAATTAATTAAACATTAGGTATAGATCGGTACCCCATCCCCTGTGGGTTTTCGGACTAGTGGGTTTTCGGACTAGTGCGCTTTCGGACTAGTGGGCTTTCGGGCTATTGGGCCGTCGGACTAGTTTCACTACGTACTGTTGGCATCCAGTGTAGACGTTTGTGTAAGTAATACAAACGTTTGCGTACGCAATACAAATATTTGCGTAAGTTACGTAGGCCTAAATGTCTGCGCGCACATCACTACAAACAGAAATTCTTGTTTAACGCATAATCACATGCGTACCGTTTATATTTACAGCATACCCACGTAATCATATCATTATGCGTTCGAATCTACGCAGAAAGGTGCATAGCATTGCAGTCAGCTACTGGGTTTGAGTCCAAGTTTCGGCACGTGCGCGAGTACAGCAGACCTTTCCCGTTGTATTTTGGCCCAGATAGTAAAGTATATATGGCTTGTATTTTTCAGTTGCTGTTGCATTCCGTTCTGCATAGACGATCTGAAAGATGCTGTGCATAGTTGTCCCAGTTGCAAGGAGCGGATTGGAACGCACAAGAAGATTTAGAACGAATCTGTTAGTACTCTGAGAAAAGTTGCAAGCAAGGTTGTCCTTTGATGCTTTAATGAAAGCCATTGTTGTCTGTGTCTCACACCCGTTCGCACAGTGATCATGCCATAGTTCGATACATAATTGATGCTCCGGCATGTCGCTACACGTATACTATATGTGTTTAAATTGTATTTCGAATAGCGACATACTTGATTAACGCATATTGAAATGCATCGTGGGGTTTTCACAGAACATGCTTGTCTCTCTCTCTCTTTTTCTCTTTCTCTCTCGCCCCTCTTTCTTTCTAACGTTTTGTCTATAAAATGTGAAGTGCGAATACAGTTTTCAAACCCGAACTAATGCTAATCAACCCACATTACTTGCTAGCATACAGTGCTAAACAAGTGGTGCCCCCGGACGCCCCGTCCTTGTGCAAATCGAAGGTTTGAGTTAATATATGCAGCGGCACGCTCCCCCTACTGGCAATTTAAACAAAACAGGGAATAGCATATGGGAATTACCTGGGAATTCGACCAATCTGAATTCGTGGGCAACAGTGACTGACTTGACACAGCGTTTGCTGGTAAGCATGTCATGGTAGCATCGTTGAAAAATTTTGGGATTTCAAAGCGCACGAAAAACGATAATAAAACTTAAATAACCCTAATTACCTCAATGACTACGCCCCCCGCATGCCACTCACGATGTTTACTCGGTGACGTCGCCCTCCCAAATCCCATTGGTTGATACAAATCACGTGCCTCAAACTCCTCAATGACTCAGTGTTGTCATATTGAAGGCACATCCATAATACACAAACCCGATAATCCTCAATAGCCGAACGCTTAGAGCTCAGCCGTCATGGCTGAAATGTCATTGGATCGAATCCCTGCGCCTACAGTTTTTAGACGAGCGGCTGCGGCCTGCATGCCTACAGTCTACACAAACTGCATGCGCATGATTTGAAAGTAGTAAATCGGCGCAATACGCGCACTATTTCGTATCACTATTTTATCCTATATTTTTCATAAGATAATGGTTGGATTTTTAAAATCTTTGCAACTTTTATTAGTCGAAATCTTATTACATAGGATACAAGTAACGTGGCCGCTGTAAAACAGAAGTATGATATTATTTACAACAATTTCTTTCTGACATGTCCGTGACGAATGCCCCTGCCCTATGGGGGCCCAATATCACGTCAGTGAGCGCAGCCTATACTGCTCCACCATCCACACCTTCACTCGGCGAGCCTCGCTACACTGGAGACGCCAGTGCTATTGTATTGTTAGTCTGTGACAAGGCCGTCGTACACACACACATCACATGGTCATGGGTAATATTGAATAAGCTGTATATTTCGCGGTCGTTGAATTTCTCTTCCGTTTCGCGTCATTGACGGAGCAGTTCTTCAGTGATTCTCGTGCTTTGACGTGCGTCAAACTCCTCAATGACGTCACAGTGTTGTCATATTCAAGGCACATCCATAATCCACAAACCCAATAATCCATAATAGCCAAACGCGTAGAGTACGAACGTCACGGCTGAAAGGTCCTTGGATCGAATCCCATCTGTTTTTTAATAATTTTCCTGTTTTCTGTATTTTTCTATCTTTATCCATTTAACTATTTTTCCCCAATTAACGCAAATATTTACATGATTTATTTACAACAATTTAATAACAACAAATAATTTTTAGAACAATTAAATTATTTAAAAAAAGGGTTAGGGTTAGGGTTAGGGTCACGTATTTTCACAGGCACGTGATTTGTATCAACCAATGGGATTTGGGAGGTATGCAGGCCCTAGCTGCGTGTGTATAACTAAGCCGCATATTTCGCCGTCGTTGAATTTCTCTTCCGTTTCGCGTGATTGACGGAGCAGTTCTTCAGTGATTCTCATGCAATTAGACCTGCGCGATGGCGTGCATATGTTTGGTAGTGAATTAGACCCGCTAAAATTCGAGACTGTTTGCTGGCAGCAATCGATCCGTGCACCGGCCTTTCGATTTGGCGCACGGATCAATAGCTGCCAGCACGTGATACTTTCGTAGGACGTTCCCGCGATCGCGTGCGCCTTGCCGCGGAACTGCGCGCAAGATCCGCATTCAGCGGGCAGGATCAACACCTCTCAGGCAACGCTTCTATGGTATCCGGTCTCTTACTGGGTTGGTGTGTACTGGAAATGTGTCATAAAAAATGTAAATAGTGCGCACCCGATATTACTGCATAGGCCTATATATATATATATATATATATATATATATATATATATATATATCACAGTACGTACTATACACTAACTACGTAGTACGTAGTTAGTTACGTCGTGTTAGTTATATATATATATATATATATACATATACGTGTATATATATA